CGAACTACCAGCTAGGATAGGAGACTTATAACCCACTGTTTAAATAAGTTCAAATATAATAGGTATTATTTCAATTTTTTATTTTTTATTCCTTTTACCGTTCTAAGAAAGCTTCTCTCAGATTTAGAAAAATTAATTATTAATAAATCTTGAGTAAAACCATGAAAGCATACATAATTAATTAAATCTTCATTAATAGACCAAAGAGCTGGATAAGAACTAAAACAAAATAAAACATAAAAACCATGCTTCAAAAATTATCATTCTAAAATTCGATGATGCATTATTTAGAAACAAATGTAAACTTAATTATTTATAAGTAATATTATTAATAGTATTATGAGCGTTTTTTTTTTAAATTTAAAATATTATAATTAAATGTTGTCAAGTTTTACAAAACATTAATTTAAAATTAAAATTATTATAGAGTAAAAAATATTTAAATAAAAAATTTTTAACATGACGTTGAACGGCGTCAAACTAAAAAATTATTGGATGTCACCGTGTCTGACACTTTTATATATATATATCTTAAATTAAAGCTAATGTAATGTACTTTACTATGAAAAAAAAAATTTGACCTCCAGACGGTGAAAATGGTTACCAAATGCTATTTTTGTGTGTAAATTCTCGATTTTATTTTTTACATTTTTAACATTATAATGCTATAACTTTATTGAAAAGTGTATGGATCAACATAATTTTTTTATGAGAAATAATTATTTTTATTAATCCCTTTTTCATTCAACATACTATATCTTAATCAGGATATTAATAAGGAACTAGCAGATCATGTTGCTTTTGGAATAATCCACCAATTTTTTAAAATTAAACACTATCTAAATATTTGCATCAAAGAGTTTTTTTATTGATAGTGATTTTAATCACTATCAGATATCATTATACTTGATCCAACTATGCCATGTCACCACTGTGCCGCGACCCCCCTGTGCTGGGTTTTATTTTTGTAATTTTGATTTTATATGTTTTTCATATGAATGAAAAATTATTTCTAAAACAAATTATTCAATAACCTACATTTAATTCATTTATCATTCGTCATTGATACATAACCAAATAAAATAACACAATATTTTACTATTGTTTTATAAAATTAAAAACATTATGTTTTAACTTGTTAAAGGCGATTAAAATATTTAGATATGAACGCTTTAATGTAAATTAATATTAAATCTTTAAATATAAAAATTTATGAATCCTATATATCTTTTTTGGACCAATTTTTTTCATTCTAAAATTTTACACTAATTTTTTATTAATATTTAAAGTAACCTGGGGTAAAAGTACGTTTTTTTTTTTTTTTTATCGCTGATAAGTTATAGTATATGATAGTTAAAAACAATTTTTATCTATTTTTAGTCACACATACTACCAAAAAATACAAATTAAGTTAAATAATAAGATTTGAACTTTATTTAATGAACTGAAATAAAATTAAAAATAAAAGCGATGGCCAATTTTTTCTTGTTCATCTGTTGCCTCATTTCCAGCTAATCCAATATTATATTAATATAATATAATATTAAGACCATTAATCAATGTTAATATAATTTTTTTTTCATTGCAATTAACAATTTTCCAGTATATTTTGTATTTTGAATGGAATATTTTCTGAGTAAAATTTATCAAACGCGCAGGTGATCCCTTTCACTCGCTAATATAGTGAGTATGAACAGGCTTAAGGTAAAATGGAAATGTAGTGCGATTCACTAGATAGAAGCAATCTTAAAGATGATAATAGTTCTTTTATTTAGCCGACCCTAAATAGTTGGGATTAAGGCGAGGAAAAAGAAAAATTTCTTGTATCAAGGGTTTGTTAAATATTTCTGCAAGTTATTTATTTAAATTTTTTGTTCGAAAAGAATTATATTCTTCAAAGAATATTAGTATATGTATAAATAGAAGCGTTAATTATATTAAACGAAAAAGTTATTATTGACCATTATTGTGGACACAAAAGGAGTAACCTACCATTATTCTATGTAATGATAATGACGAATATATTACAACACCACAATGCTCCCGATGTACTCTCCCCAACAATTCAATCCATTCCATCTTATGTACTCTGTTACGAGAGTAACAAATAGAATAAAATAAAATAGTATTGCCGAATAATTAATTACTTTATTAAAAATAAAAGTAATAGTTACCGCACAATAGTTGTCAAATGACTAACGATGCTCTGAATTACAACAGTCGCAGTCGGCCCACTTTCCGGTTTTGCAACACCGAAAAATACCTTATAAACACATTCTTTTAGGCCGACCTCGATTACAATTCAATTTATGATTATCTGTTATTATAATTGTAGAACAATTATAAAACTAAGTTAAGTATTCATAACAACTCAAACACTTTAACTTTTTTTTTTTTTTTTTTAGTTTAATACAAAGTGAATNATTGGGTATTTTTTTTTTTTTTTTTTTTTTAGTTTAATACAAAGTGAATAGTACAACCATTGTCAAAAATGTTTATAAATTTTTACTCTCTGGTCTAATAACAATATTTCAGGAAGTTACAATTATTTTACAATTAAACCAAATATTACAATATTAAATGTTATACTTTCAGCTTTAAAGATAATAGACTATATTAAGTTTTTTTGAGATGTAGTCCTGTGCACTTGTAATAAACCAAAAAGAAAAATAATACTAAAAGGTGGCAGCTAATGGCAAATGGTATGATATAACCAATAATAGGATGTAAGTTTGAGGGAAATGAATAATGAAGGGCAAAAATAGTGGTGATATGGATTTTAATATGAAGGTGTGAATGCTTATATTGTACCAAAAGAAAATTTAAGGCCTGATTCTTAGTCAGAGTAAAGATATAATGTGACGTATATATGGCCGAATAATAAAAATTAGACAAGATAGTAAATGGCGGAATAACACATGTGTTAAATATGGTAAAATATGTAAGGGTGCAAGAATATAATGATGTGAATAAAGAACAATTTTAGAGGGGTGAATAAACGAAGTTTAAATACATGAGGGTAATGATCATATAAATAAAAATGTATACAAACGTTGTGACAAAAATAGTAAACTGATCCCAGGGTTGAACAATATTGAATAAATGAAGTCAATTATCCTGCAAAACTTTATTACCTATCTTAATGATTTATTACGCAATAGAATGTTTATAATTTGAAAGCGGAAATTTAAATTTGTACTTACCTCGTAACCCATGTAATGTAATGCTTATTTCAAACAATCCAATGTTAATTATGAGTTTTCACTATGCCTCGCACGCTGCACACTACAGGTTATACAGTTAATACGACCGCTCAAAAGGAAAAAAACGTTTAATTTTAAATAACATGAACCCGTTACACAAAATCTATGACTGTATTATTATATGCAAAAGTTTCTACACACTCTATGTTTTTTTTATATAATTTTAATTAAATAATGTATCCTTAGTTAACTTTGTAGAATGAGTATATTTTTTATGAGATTATATTTTATTGAGAGATCGACACCAATATTTCTTAAATTTTCTTCTGGCCTGGCCAAAACAAGATTCAGAAATATTTATATCTATGTAAAAGATTTGTCAAGGCGGAATTGTGGTGGCCCAATGTGTCCCGGCGGTATCATATTGAAAAGATACGGCACAATAATCATCAAGACAAAAATTAAACACTAAAAAAATATATTCGTATGTTTCTTTGTGCTGTTTGCCGGCGTGATGTCCGTTAGAACAAAAACATTAAGCTCAATGACTAGCTACCCAATAAGTGTGGAGTTGCAATATACTTAGTTTAATAAAAATATTATTGAATTAGTTTAAATCTGAAATAATTATAACCTTTAACACATAATAAATATTTACCAATAGATGAAAAATTTTAATAGGAAAAAATGGGTTTTTATAGAGATGAGGGTCGTGTAGCGATCCCTAGTGTGATCTTAGAAACTGTAGATCTTAATTAATAGTTAAATGTGATTGGCTGGACCTAATTGAGAACCCACACATAGGCGTTACTTTGAATCTGTACAATAATCAGGTTTAATTGCCTAGTTTATTTATTATTTTATATTTTAAATAAGGGAACCCTGTTTTGATGATCTTGTGAATTCATAATATATGACATACATGTACAAAAGATAACATAATATAATATTTTAATATTATAAGTGATAATATAATATTACACACTCTTTTAGTTATTGGCCTTGTTCGTTACTTTGCAATTACGTTACTTTGCAAATACTTTGCATTACGGATCTTACATTTATCAATGAAAAATGTATAATCTGTATTTTATATTACTAGTATAGAAAAAAATTAATAATAATCTGAGTAAGGAATGGTAAAGCAATAGATTGATTTAAAAATCATTTAATTTAATTATTAATAACTAGTTAGTGCTTGGTCATATACTGTGTGTCAGATAGGAGGCCAAGATCCCGATCACTACAAGAATACCTCAGCGTTTAATACCTTTATGAGAGGATCTTAATTCATTTCTTTTTATATCTACTTGTCTTTACTGTTCTAAACACTCAGACTTTACAACCTCGATAGAACCTCATTACTCACGAATTGACCAAATTCCCAAAACATCCAACCTTGGTCAAAATACCCAACACATCATAATTTTAACTTTATTTTTGTATTATTACCTCGTATCAAATATCTTGTTGAATTATACATGGTTTAAATAATAAACATAAACAAATTGCCTTGAATACCTTTAATTTTATAGTCCTTTTCTAAACAAATAAGTTAAACTTTTCAGTACAACTTTTTTTCAATTCATAATTATAAGATTTGCTATTGTGCATACTGTATAGATTGTAATTTTTCAAATAAAGCCAATTAAAAAATAATAATAAGGTTTTAATAAATAGATTATTTTAAGGATTGACAAAAAATTTTACATGGCAACATTTAGTAATGAAGTTATTGATTGAGTTTATTCATTTATTCAGTATTACAATCAGAATTTTCATTATCTTTGCATTCTAGACTGTATTTACGATCTATTAATTCATTATTATTTAAATCTTCGATTTCATAATCGAAAATATTGTAGATTTCTTTCATCAATATATAGCGATTTTGATATTCCTTGTACAAAGTTGTTTCTACATCTATACATAAAAATGTCAAATAAAGGTTTTAATTTGATATATAATGTTAGTTGATTTATTAAAAAATATTNTGTATTTATCTTTTTTTTAATGTTTTATGTTTATGTGTTATTTAAAACACCAACAAAGATTTTAAAAGTTGTATAACTTTCAACTCGGGGAGGAAATGTTGGGTAGAGTGTGGCACTCGTGTATGACCGGTTCGAACGTGTTAATGATTCGTCCGGTCATCGTTACTTCCTCAGCGAGCGACACATCCTCTTTGGTACGTGAACAGTACACTCGTTCTCGCGACTACGATCTAATAGTCGTTCCTCAACAATTAAGTAGTGTGTTACCTTTTCTCGTAAAATAATCCTTCTCGCATATTACGAGTTAGTGTCATCGTTCACATCGTCATCAACGCTCACATACAGTCCACGCTCACCATCATTAATTACCATCTTAACTTATACAGCTAAGTGTTTAATTGTTTGTTTTATTTATTTTGTATATTATCTTTTTTGTTCATGGCCGCTTTGTCGGTCAGTATAATATGTAAGTTACCCCCCCTTTCCCTTTAATTTTAAGAATTTCATTTGCAGAACTGTAATATAATTCGTAATTTATACAATCATAAGCAGGTGTACCTATTTATTATCCCCTCTGATTTCCGCATTTTGATTTCAACAAAATAAACAACACCATCGCACCGTAATAGGCCATTCCCCTTTATTATTAAGGGGCTGCTTGTTACATATTATATTAGAAAATAAAGTAGTTCTTTTAGTCTATCTTTAGCTAAATTGTGTTTTATAATTTGCCGTATTTACAAACATACAAAATCACCGTCTTTCTTATTTTTGTATTATTACACACTGATGTCAAAAATTAATATAAATAATACAAATTTTGTAACATTACAACTTGAATAGTAACATTCATTCATTATCATCTTTGGGACAACCAAAGAACAATTAGACACCATACTAGACTATTTAGTAACTGGTAAAATACATGCAGTTGCTCTGCGTAAATGTGAATACACGTGGACTGACGACAAACCGCCAACGGTAAGTGAGCTTGGAGATTTTCTCAACAAAATGTACTAGATTTTAGAATCTGCTTAGGTGGCAAGTAATATTAAGTCTAACACGGAGTCTACATGGGACAGAACAAAAGAACCAGAAAGAAGATGTCAATGGTCAAAGCCATTTGTTGTACCTAACAGCGCAGCACAGATAGCAAATTAGTGTCAAATTGTGGTCTTACAGATGTCTACCAAACTATCATGGGGTGTTCAAGTTTGAAAAATTAGTTCGCCAGAAATTAATTATGCAGAAGCCAAGGTGTGGAAATAGAGATGGCCGTGGTATAAAATATGACACAACAGTTTTGGCAGCTATATCTATAGGAATATCTACATCAGCCACATTAGCAAACAAAATGGACAAAATCATAACAAAACCTACATTTTAATGAACTACTGCGATTAAAAAAAGACAACCAAGCATCACTAGTGCCGTAACCACATTTTAACCTTTATTTCTTTCTTTTCGTAAGCGTTATTGGCGTTCTAGCACTTTTCATTCGATTTTTTTTGTGGAACTGTGTTATTGTTGATATTAGATAAAATATATTTATGAATGGCTAAACGTTTAATAATTTGCTCAGTAAAAGCGGTCATGGTGACAATTATCATAAAATTTTAAATAACTTGTATTGAACAAATTGTAACTTTGATATATGACTATGAGTATAATAACAGTTAGTAGCAACAAATTTTTACAAATATATTTTCAGTAAACAGTGGTTTATTTGATGGTGTAGAACGTATAACTCGATAAATCAATAATTAAAAAATACGTATATGTACCTATATGATCATTCCCACCCTCAGTGATTCTATTACGTACAAGACACTAACGAGTTAGTCAGCTCTTGAAATGATATACCAACCCAACCAGACCACCGGTAAGCGTGGTGACTGGGTGAAGTATTTTACCACCAGACTGTCCAATAACTGATAGGAAAATATTGACTAAAATAGACGTTTTCATTGCTAGATAGAAGATTCTGATAAATGAAACCTCATTAATAAATCATTAAATACTATCTATATGTAATATACATAGATGGTATTTAATGACTTATTAGTGTATATCTATTATGAAAAGATTCAATTTTTGTTACAGTATGAAGTTTAAATAATGTGATGATTGAATAAAAGTAATGTTACTTTTTTTTAATAGTTTTTCATTTTCATAATTTTGATAATTTTTTATATAGGAATTAATTCATAAAAATGAATTATACTTAATAGTATACTTTAGTACGTATAAAATATTTTCCCATTACAAATATTTTAATTTTCAAGAATTCGAAAATATTATTTTGAGACCAATGTGCGTCAATATTTCCAAACTTATCTCAATTATTAAAAAAAAAACTTTTAAACTAAGATTCTGTCACTGGATATGCTCCCTTCAGTCATTGTAAATAACAAGCTTAGTATCTAATATCAAATAATTTTTAACTTTAATAAGAAAAATATAAACATTTTTATTATTTGAAATTATTCATTTTATTTAAAAATATATTTTTTTTAGTCCTTTCCTTATGAACAATTTTAATACATAGAATGGGCAGAGTTCATAAATACCAGTAAAAGAGCTCTATCCATCCACGCTTCATACCCATTATATCTATTAAAATGTTTGTAATCCAATAAGTATTTAATTTTTTATAGACCCATCAAATTGCTTGTAAATAGTGAAATCAAAAATAGCTAACATAAAATTTTGAAAAAATTTTAATTTTAATTTTTAACAAATAACAAAAAATATACTTTTTACATAGTCCAAAACCGAAAAAATTATTTTAAAAAAAAGTAACGTAAAGTATTCATATACCTTTCGGGCACTTCTCAGATTCTATCATGTCAAGTCCCGTTCTACCTGAAATCAATTTTTACTAGTTACAAAAGACTGAGTTTTTAGATTTGAAACGATTTCAACAAATTAAAAGATAACAAAAATACAATATAACAATATCACTTTTAATATTTATAAAAAAATTATGTTAAGCATTATTTAAGTATTAAATTTTTAATACTACAAATAAAATTTCGACATTTCGTTAAGTCATGAATTAAACGAGAGAAATGTTCATTTTAAAGTAAATTTTTTCTCCTAATGTATATTCAGACAGGCTACCCATGATAATTAGTGGCATAACATAATTTAAATTTGTGATTCAAAGTAATTCAATGACTTCAATAATAAATTTCATTTTTTGTAAAAAAGGAAAAAATCAATTTTCATAGAAAATATTCTTACAATAAAAGTCACCGAGATTATCTTGAATTACTTGTTCTCGAGCTGCTACACTAGTTATGTCATCAACTGAAAATATTACAAACGAATCAATGAAGAAGAAGAATATAAACTGTAATTTCAATGTTGTGCATCAAATATCAACAAAATTCTAATCATATTCACCTATTAAAAGGTATTCAGTAATTCTAGCCAGATAAATTACTTACTTGGTGGAACAAAGTAAATTTCTAATTCCTCTGAAATTTAAGTAATAATGATTATATTATAGTAAGTTATCAATCTTTAAACAATTGGTATATTTATAAATACTATATATGTAGGGTATTGTGCAGAAGAGATCAAAAAAGAGAGGACAAATAAATTAATTCTGAATTTTTTGCAATGTATTAGTTATAAGATAAAACGCTACTTATCAAAAATGTTTTGTTATGATAATTCTTTAAAATAATAATTTTTTTACGTTTTAGTTTTACATTTATTTCATTTTTCCCTGAAATATTACTTTAACTCCTATTTTAGGTATTTAAAAGAAAATTATTTTAAAATAAAATGAATAGAAGACAATGTTCTCTTTGAGATAATTCTTATTGTAATTATTTTACTTAAGTGTAGCAAATAAATACACCCTCTAATTATGAATATTTAATATTTTTTAAAAACTTTTCAATCAATGTACTATTTAAAAATAGTTAACGATTATGTTTCTACTTATTTGTAAAGTACAAAAGATTTGGGTTTCATTTAATCAAAGAAATTAGTACATGAAAGTTGTAATCTGACTAAATTATTAATACGTATACAGAGTGATCAAAATCTGGTAAGACACTCATTTTCTCAGAAACAGGTTGCACTACCATCAATATTATGAAACGTAATAAATGATAATATTATTTATCGGGATCAATATCTTTAAACAATTATAAAACGTAAACGGTTGTTCGGATAAAAAAAATTATAAGAACAAAATTGTTTGTAATTTTTTTTCTATCATATTATCAAATTCAAAATAGTGGTCCCCATTTTAAAAAATTACAAATAAACATTTTTATCCCTGAAGGAATAAAAAAAAAATTTATTTAACTTCATATTATTGTAGAGTTTTAATTTAAATTTATAAACTTAATAATTTTTCTTTTAACAAAAATTAAAAATTCTCAATAGTTTTTGAAAAAATGAGTGTTTTACCAGATTTTGATCACTCTATAGAATGTTTTTTTTTAATGAACCATTCAATTACTAACAGAATAAAAATAATTTTGAAAAGCATTTTTGTGTTACTTTTATTTACATATTAATCTTAAATTATTAGTAATGTAATACTGTCGTAACACAATAAGAGGGGAGAGGAATGTAATGTGTACGTATATGAAGATGAGGATGCCTGCTGTTTAGGTATTCACGTGCCTGTTGTCGCACAGCAGTCACCGTGCTCGGCTGATACTCCGGGTTAGCTGTGGGTGTCGAATGGCTGTTGTTATAGGAAGGGAATCAGGGTAACACCTAGGTATAAGGTGCAGACGAAGTGCAAGACACAAATACTTGGGGTATAGGAGAGGACAATGAAGTACGAGGTGCAGACGAAGTGCAAGACACAAGTACTTCAAAGAGAGAACGGAGTAGCCGAGTATAAGGTGCAGACGAAGTGCAAGACACAAATACTGGGCGTACCAGGTAAAGAGTATAACAAAGTACGAGGTGCAGACAAAGTGCAAGACACAAGTACTTTAGTTATTTGGAGAGAATAATGAAGTACGNAAAGAGAGAACGGAGTAGCCGAGTATAAGGTGCAGACGAAGTGCAAGACACAAATACTCTGAAATGTTGTGGAAGAGAGTAGATAGGTTTAAAAATTAAAAAAACAATGACTTTACTTTAAGCAGTAAGCCGGACAGCGACAACTGAGTACTGGACTGATGAATGACACAAGGCACTGGAGTCGACTGATCAAGATGGTCAGGTATTTTGGGTTTTTATAATAATTTGAACTATTGCCAAATTGGCAATAAATATTATTTGTTAATTCATCAGTCTCAGGAAGCGGATGTGCTGTCTGTATTTTATTAAAATAATTCTCACAATAATGGTAACGTGACATCATCACAATACTTTATAAGTTTATCTCTTATGCCTTGTGAGATTGTCAACTTTAACTATTCAAATAGTAACACATATTGTAAAATTAATTAAGTATTTGAGTTTTTATTTTAATAATAAATGACATTTGATTTTTTAACTAAATTTATTAGTTATAAAAGCTTAAAGATTCAAAGTTTTGAGTTAATGTACAATTCACAAGGAATTATAATTACAGGTAGCTAATTGTTTTTTTTTTTTTTATGAAGCCGTTATTCGCAGATATGCAGAATATATTTTCAATTATAACTTTATTAATAGATATGCTTTCTGTATTGACAGGAGACATAATTACAATGCACATTAATATCACATTTAAAGCATATCAGTTGATTAAGTTATAATTGACAATAAATTCTGCGTATCTGCGAATAGCGACGTTATAAATAAACATGTAAGTACCTGTAAAAGTTTAAATGCTATTAACTATTCAAATAAAAAAGCAAATATTATATTCAATTAAAAATATGTGCTCCCATTTGAAAAAACAAAGTTGCAACTCTTACAAGGTATAAGGGAATTATCTTAAATAGTGTTACATAACTAATAATTTAAGTAAAATATGTTACTGAAAGTAATTAAAAATAAATTGTTATCAAAATTATTTTTATTCAAATAATGATTGAGATTTTGAGCTCTTATATTAAAAAGAAATTTTAATAAAAGAGTTCGACAACGTTATTCTAGGAAAATTATTCGCGAAAATGAGAATTTTTAGCACACCGTGACCGTTACGCTCATTACCGGCAGTCTTTTTTAATTTAAATTCTGAAATTTTTACTAAGCTTGCCCAAAGACATTTCAAAGGTACCCTGAAAATATCGTTGTATTCTGTTCATTTTTGACCGAAATATGAGCTTTTTTTTTTTATGTATTTCTTGGCACTCCTGTCTGCGCCGCACGAATATCTTGAGTCACTTTTTATCATAAAAACGATTTTTTTTCGTTTTACTTATATACTATTATAATCTACATACTACAAGGAAGATGGAAAAAACTAAAAATGTAAAATCGGACAAAAATTCTACACTCCGTGATCGTTTAAAATTTATCTCGCGCGTAATTTTTAGTAGGATAGTATTTTGGTTTTCGCATGTCAATTTTATGCTAGTTTAGAAGTGTACTAATAACACGGTATTTGAAGATGCCCTAAGATAATACTTGAATATATTTGAGTCATATTATTAGGTAATTTATTCATTTATTTAATATTTCATCTAATAAAATTTATTGAATAGGATGAATAAAAAAATAAGTATTGTGCATTAGAATAGTTGATTTATAATTATTTTAATTAAAATCTTTTTTTAATTTCCTTCATACAAACAGGCTTTTTCTTTGTGGTAGGGAATTTCCTACAGTCTTTACATTAAATGTCATTGAAAATTTAAATTGGTGTATTAGAGTCTAATACAAATTTAAAATTTTAATTATTTTAAATGTATTTTGTATTTTAAATAAAAGACTATACATTTAATGTTAAGTCATTTATTTAAAAATATATAATATAGTATTCATTTCAAACTATTACCTTTAGCTTAACAACACAATTTTATTAATATTGATGATACCAAATATAGTGTTAAAATTGAAATATTATTAAAATATTGTGTTAACCATAGTCGAAAAATGTAAACTTTATACCTTATACATATCACTATTTACTATATTTGAATTTTACTCATTTTATTAATTAAATGTCTACTATTTTTCTGTTAAAATGGTTGTGGGATAATACTATTCCTGCACAACACTTGTCTTCCCCGACTACCGGAATCAGTGACCTAATTATAAGGAACCTCATCTAGGCGAATCTTAGTATAAATATAATGTACATATACAAAGTATATTATGCATGGCATATGTAAATACAACAGATAAAAAGTAGAATCTAATTTTTTTTACATAAAATAATCTCTAAAACAAGTTAAAATACTATAGAATCTAACCATATTAGAATTTGATTTAGTTTTTTCTTACCAAATGTTTTACCAGTATTTTCAATCATAAATGGAACCATAGCATATAGATCTGATTAATAATAATTTATAGTTTACTAAAATACAATGATTTAAAATATGATTTTTATTTATATTATTGTACAAATATTATAAGATTTATACAATATATACATGCTGTATTTAATTATTAAGTTTATTTTTAAACTTTAATCAGTTTCTGATTGAATAATTAGTATTTTATAACTAGTCACTATTGTTTTGCAATTTTTAAAAATAATTTTCAAATCTTTATTTACAGAAAGTTCAGTAAAGAAAAAAAAACCTAGCTCAGTGGCATTGTTGGGTAAAGTATAGGTGATATTTGACTATGATTAAAATCACTATCATAAGAAACGCTTCGATGTGAATCTGTAGATAGTGTTTAATCCTAAGAAATTGGTGGATAAATACAAAAGCAACATCAGCTTCTATTTCCTTGATTAAATCCAGATTTGTAGTTCTTAAATTCAAAAATATAATATAAAATTTTTATAATTAATTGTTTTCAAATTATTATTGATTGAACTTTCAAGTTTTAAATTGACATCATTAGATAGAAAAAATTAGTATTGTTAAGATTAATATGCAGTCAATAAATTTTATAATTACTATTAACAGTAAATTTATCATAGAAGCTCAATTTTTTTTTTTTTGCATTTTTATCGTAAAATCGCAACCACAAAAGAAACCCAGCACAGGGGGGTCGTGGCATTGTTGGATCAAGTATAATGATATCTGACAGTGATTAAAATCACTATCAAAATAAAACGCTTCGATGCAAATCTTTAGATAGTGTTTAATTTTAAAAAATACACTTTTCAATAAGTTATAGCATTATAAAGTTAAAAATGTGAAAAATAAAATCGAGAATTTTCACACAAAAATAGCATTTGCTAGCCATTTTTACCATGAAGACAAGTCTAGAGGTCAATTTTTTTTTTCATAATAAAGTATATTACATAAGCTTTAATTAAAGATATATATAAAAGTGTCAGACCTTCCGGAACACTTTCAAAAGTTCTACTTTATATATGAATTTTTTATATTTTAAGCCCCTCCATATATAGGGAAATGGTCTAATTTAAAAAAAGTTAAGTTGAAAAAGTTAATTTTTTGTGAAAAAGTTGTCTTTTTAAATCCCCCCCTATAGGCAGATAAAGAGTCAAATTTACAAAAAAAATATATCAAATGATAGGTAAAGACATCAAGCGTCTATAAAAAAAAAAAATATGTTGATATATTCATTTTTGAAAAAAATTTCAAAAATTTCGAAAATTTCGAAAATTTCGAAAATTAGCGATTTTTAAATTTGTAATTTTTTTGGAGGTTTCCCCCATTTATGGGGAACAGGGGAATTTTTTTCAATTTTTAAGGGTAATGTCTTCGACTAGATACGATTTGTGATCTTTTGACGTATCGTTGAATGAAATCCGTTCGGTGAGAGCTGAGAAAAAGTGGTAACAGACACAAAAAAAAAAACACATCATAGTAAAACCAATACCTTCTTAGATTCGCATCGAAGCTAAAAAACACATAGTAAAATCATATTAACATGAATAAGTAATTTCTTCTCACGAGAGGAGACAATAGTGATGGTATCATTGATATTTATTGAAGTTATTAAATCTAAATGAAATAAAAATCAAATGATTTGAAAAATTAAAAAATGTCTACTGGTATACAGGTGGCCCAGTACTCACTGACAACTTAAATAACTTTATATCCAGTTAATATTTTTAACTGATTTTTTTTTAAATAATAGTTATACGTTAGGTCTATAGCTATATCTCAATTATTAATTTTTTTACATTTTATCAAAAANTTTTTTTTTTAAATAATAGTTATACGTTAGGTCTATAGCTATATCTCAATAATTAATTTTTTTACATTTTATTAAAAATATTAATTATTTTTAAATTTTAAATAAAATGTAAAAAAAAAATCTAAGATAGCTATTTTGTAGAGTAGAATTTAAGAAAAATTTTAATAAAAAAATATCTTATTAATATTCAGTAGTAAATATTCTGTAGCATTTTAAAGTTTGTGAAAATTTGAATTTTCATGTATTATTTTACGGTATTAAACATTGAAATACGTATTGAGAAAAGGACAAAAGAAAACACTATCTTTTCGTAATTACTATAATTTACAACCTTGGCATTAATACTATGATAAGAAATTTGATAAGGCAATTATTACTTATCACTCTCATTCAAAAGTATAAGTATTTTCATGGAAAAAGTTACACATCTCCAAATTATAGTTATGAAAAGATAGTGTTTTCTTTTGTCCTTTTCTCAATACGTATTTCAATGTTTAATACCGTAAAATAATACATGAAAATTCAAATTTTCACAAACTTTAAAATGCTACAGAATATTTATTACTGAATATTAATAAGATATTTTTTTATTAAAATTTTTCTTAAATTCTACTCTACAAAATAGCTATCTTAGATTTTTTTTTTTACATTTTATTTAAAATTTAAAAATAATTAATATTTTTGATAAAATGTAAAAAAATTAATAATTGAGATCTAGCTATAGACCTAACGTATAACTATTATTTAAAAAAAAATCAGCTAAAAATATTAACTGGATCTTAAGTTATTTAAGTTGTCAGTGAGTGCTGGGCCACTCTGTATAGTACTAAAACTAGTTTCAATAATCGTAAATTTTTAAAGATGTCTCTCAATTACGGGGAACGAAATTTTTTCAATCATTAATGGTAATGTCTTCAACTAGATATGATTTGTGATCTGACGTATCGTTGAAAGAAATTGGCCCAGTGAGAGCTGAGAAAAAGTGGCAAGAAACACAAAAAAACACATCATGGTAAAATTAATACCTTCTCAGCTTCACATCGAAGCTAATATACTCATTATTTAATTATTTTTCAATGTAACATTTTTCATGAAAAAACCATTTAATTGATTTTTAAAACTATTCAAAAGAAAACACCTTCTAGTGTTACTAAAATTATAAATAAACTTTTAAATATTTCATGATCTCAAAAAAAATATATAAAAATGTTGACTTGAAAACCACTTAAAATAATGTGTTAAATATGTATTAATCGAAAAAAAATTTAAATCTCAAAACGTTTAGTTACACAGTTTTCCCATAAAGACGATGCTTATGTACGTTTTATATTAAGTAGTAATTTAGTTACGACTTCTTTTTATTAATACGTATACCTTACCATTATTGTTTAGATCCATCAATAAACAGTCTGTAATAATTATAATTATATTAAATTATTGTTTAATAAGGATGTATATAAGTAAGTTAAAGTTAATGTTAGTTATTTTTTTATATACCGAAGAATTTAAATTTTCGGTTAAATATATTTTAACTCAACTACTCATTAGTGCATTTAACGACTAAATAACGTATACTTTTGGTATTTATTGTTGTATACATAAAATATAGGAAAAGGAAAATTATATTTAGCTGCCAAAAATGTGTCCATGTTATACTTATGGTATTTTTCAGCTTCGATTCGAAGCACATGATAGCACATCATTTAGATTTTGGAATAATCCACTAATTTTTTAAAATTAAACACTATCTAAAGATTTGCATCGAAGCGTTTTTTTTATAGTGACTTTAAACACTGTCAGATATCATTATGCTTGGCCCAACTATGTCACGTCACCACTGTGAGCCATCCCTCTGTGGTGGGGTAATTATATCTACTGTTTAGTGTATTGTTAATGAAATTTTGACATTTTAACTTTGAACTTAATTTAAAGGAGCACAATGGATTATTGAATCACTGCTTTAGTGCTAATGCCCTGCACTGTCGCTGTTTATTGCCGGATAGTTGACCATACGGAAACAATAATAGTAACACACACTTTGCTGGCTCCCTTGGCCATCATGAGATTGGGACAGGTGACAACCAGAGAAAAAATTCCGTAAGACCATTTGTAAGGTACAAACAACTTCAAATAAATAACATAGAGCCTAAGGAAATGATGATGAATTTTTAACATTTAGCTTCCATGGAAAGATTTGTTTAAGGATGGTGCGTGTATTTTTTTATGTTTGTCCATGAAAATTCTTAGCTATCACTGTATAGACATTATTTATTTTTGCAACAAAAAATCCCTATTTTTATCTAGTTGAACCTAAAAATTTATAGAATTCCTCAAATTTTTAATAAAAAAAAAATTTCAAAATTACGATTCCGTAAAAAATAGCATTAAAAATATTGTCTACATCTTAAAAATGCTAAAATTTTTAAAAACACTCATACTAATTAAATTTTAATGTAGTATATAAGAAAAAATAAACTTTCTTTGGTATAATTTTTATGAAAATCCAACGGAAAACTCAAGTACAAGAAGAGTTTAAAAAAGATAAACTAACAAGTATATGATAAATTTGATTACAACTTAATTTTTGAAAATGTTCCTGAATATCTGACTATTTCTAACTTATATTAGATTAAATCACTTAAAGTGTTATGCAAAATTAAAAAAAAAAAATCACCTTGATTCATCTATAGTCAAAGCAAAAATATAATGTTTATTTTAATTGAGCAATATATTTACACAAAAATTAAATTCTTGTTAAATTTTAAAAATTACATTTATACAAATTATAAAATTTAACAGAAGAGCACCGAACGCGTTCTTTATGGACATAATATCTATCACAGCTAGACATTGTCTATACTTTTCCTTACTATACTGCGATACTAATGTGCTACATTATTAATCAATTTAGTTAAAATGAATTAAATAATTAATTACTTGTCTAATTTTAATGAATATACAGGCTCTACCACCACGTTCTAACATCTTTAAAATTTTTAATTCAACAAATATTTTTTCGTTTTTCAACAATTGTGGCTTTTACTATTTTGACTGCAATTTTTTTATAATATAACAATTGTTGGACAAAACTTTTCTTCAAATATTAAAGCACGTTTTAAAGGCTTAAATTAGATAAAGGATTGAATGCGCAGTTATTCCAGCACATTTTCAAAACTTATGTTAAAAAAAAATTGTTTTGTTTTTCATTGGATTTTTATAAAAAGTGTAGCAAAAAAAGCTGATTGTCTATTGTATACTTTATTAATAAATAATTAGGATGGATAAACTTAAAAGTTATAGCATTTTTAAAGTGTAGAAAACATTGTTTTAAATATCATTTTTTACAGTATCGAAATTATGAGGTTTCATTTTTAATTTTTATAATTGAACGAGTTTTAAAATTTTTGGTTCATCATCTAGATAAAATCGAGGAATTTTGATGCATAAACCAATAAATTTGATCTAGTGAGAGCTGAGAATTTTCATGGTCAGATTTAAAAAAATACATTATGGTGAAACCAATACCTTCTCAAATATTTTAACTGCGTCTAATGAATAAGTAATTTTACGAATGTATTTTTAAATGTAATAATCCAAATAAAAAATAAATGAAAAAATATTCAAAAGTAGTGTATAAATGTTCCTTCTAAAACACCTGATCACATTATCACATGATCACCTGATCGCCTGATCACATGATCGAGTGTTTTGGTATTTTTTTCAATGAAAGTTGTCTTTATACGACAAAAGTTCTTCTTTACGTCAGTACCTCTAAACGTCATTAGTTCACATATGCGACATTAGTTCACTTGTACGTCACTACGTCACTTGTTTTGATAAATTTTTGTGAGTATGGTTAGAGGCGGTACTTCGTATATTGGGGTGGTGTCCCATCACGTGTGAACCTGTTTATACATGTGATAGAGAATGTATTTTTGTTCGCCATTGCAGGTCATGTTTCGAGGGCGGTTTTACACGATCCTATGATACGATTTCACCTGGTACCATATTGTTATGTTTTCGATGAATGCAGGTGCATAATATGCCGTATATGTATATTAAAAATTCACTCACCACGCTTTGTATAACTCTGAGAGATATTTAATTCCAAAAAATACAATTTTTATAGTCAAAAATCAACTAAGTATTTCTATATTATTGTTGTCAATATAGAATTTGTAGAATTATTATTATATTTTCAAAATAGTATCTTATATTTTAATATTAACAAAAATTATTTTTAAATATTTTTTTCACATCATAGCATCTATTTTAATTTTTATATTTTCATAATATGTTGTCATTATATTAATAATATTTATAACTAATAAAACATTTTAATATCCTGGAAACATTTTGACATTAGTGTTTCGGTATGTATATAAAAAAATAAATAATAATATTAATAATAAATTTTGTACGAAATATTTTTTGAAATTAAATTTTTTATATACATATTATATCTTTTATTAACAAAATAAATATTTTTTGTAGAATACTCCTGTATATAACAGCACACAATTTCTGGAAATACTTAAAAATATTCCTGAAGAACATCCTGAAAATATCTTACCCGTCTATTTCAATGACAATGGTGATTTAGTTGAATTCCCCGATAATGAATTGGGAATTCAATACTATGACGATGAATTTTATAGTGTTTTAGTAAGTATAATAATAATTATTATTATTTTTTTTTTAATTTTTATAAGTTATAAAATAAAAAAATGTATTTCTGTTAATAGACTCAAGGAACATATGGACTTTGTTATCGCGTTATTGATGACCGGGCAAGCCCCGATCTTTTTCCTGAAATTAATGATGTGTCTAATAGTTATTATTGTACGTTGTTTCAAATAGACTTAGTTTATTTTTAATAACATATTTTTTTTTTTTTTGTATTAGCTGTACCAAGAAACGAATCTCCTCAAGAAATGGATACATCAAATCTATGGGTTTAATTCAGATGTGAATTACATTTTATGGCGGGCAATAGAGTCCAACAATTATTTGTAAAAATTAGTATTTTGTGTGTAAATTTTATGTAGAATTTTCAATTATGTTAAGCCAAATATTAATAATATTGTTTTTATGTTAAGTCAAAAAATGTACAATCTTTATATTTTGTTTTTAATAAAATAATAATATATACATAAAACCTCATATGTCTTATCATTTAAAATAAAAAAAATAAATTAACAATGGTACCTAATATCATATCCTACACAATATTCTACAAGCGTTGTATTAATGGTGGTTTTAAGTATGTAGAGAGGGTAACAAAAATAGTGGTGTCTGCACACACACACACACACACGCACAGACACCCACGCACACACCCCTTCATCGAAACTATATAACCCGCCAGTGTATGCTTTAGATGCGCATATGATTTTTGTTTCTTACTGAGAACTAAGATTCTTTGCTTTCAACAAGTAATCATTGTATCGCTATAAACATTTTTATTATTATTTTATTATTCAGTATTATTTTATAATTTTATTTATTTATTTATTATTCATTATTTTATTATTTTTCAATATTATTTTATTTTATTAATTAATTTATCATTCATTATTATTATTATTATTATTATTATTCATCATGTATTCATGTAGTAAATGTGTAAGAACTTTTTCAACTCGATCAAACATGCGTTGACACGAAAAAACGCATTTGGGAATAAGAAACCGATGTGACTTTTGTGACGCAGATTTTAAATACTTTGGAGATTTAAAAAAACATTTGAACAAACATAGTGAGTAAAAATATTCAATTAAATTCAATTTATATTTTAGTTAATAATAAGTGATTATATCTAGTAAAGCAGTAATAAATTAAAATAAAAACAATATATATATAAATATTTAAAAATGTTTTTTACATTAAACTGATTACTTTTCGATAGTTTTACAAAAATATATTATTATTATTATTTGATGATTTTAAATATTGCTAAGTATAAAATTTAATTTATTTCAAGCTATACTTTAAGAAAAAACAATGGATAAGTTATTTTATTTTAAATCTTTTAAAAAGATTATTTTCATATTATATTGATTAATTCTTTTTTTTTTTATTATTTTACAAAAAATACTGTTTAAATAATATTTTTAGTTGTTGTTTAAATTATAAAACTATAAAAAAATTTAATTTATATTTTAGTTACCATGATATCGGAACAAAATCGTCAGATAGCTAGTGTAATAACACATACTTCAAACTATTATGATAATGAACATTTATACGTACATTCCACCTCAAATTATCAAGGTATTAAAATCTTAGAGAATTTTTTTTTCTTGCTAGTCTATTATATTTAAAATTGATATATATTTTTAGGTCCATCTATTGTTTCATTGAATAAACGCAAACATGAAGACATTTGGGGTGGTGAACTTGGGGATCAAATCTGTCTAGAAGCCGATTCAGCATTAACTAGTACTGCTAGTTCTACCGCAGGTCGTCGAACAAAAAAACAACGTCTAGAAGAGGTTAAAACAGAAGGATTCCAATTAATCCAGTCTGCATTTGGAGGTATGATAAAAAATTATTATAAGAAAAATCTCACTCTATTGCCTCACTACCAGTTGTTTCTCGATGAAGCCAAGCCCGAGATAATAAAGTTGCTTACTGAGTTAATATCAAAAGACTCTATTAAATTTAACTTAAAACTGGAGGGTGCATACAAAATCCCCCATACATCTGTTATAGAAAATAGGTCTTTCAAAACCGCTGCTCGAACACTATGCATGGCTGACAACGATTTGCATGCCATACTAGAAGAAGAATTTAATAAATTAATGCATGAAGAAGAAGTTTACACATCAAAAGGATCTGGCTTTTCAATAGACAGCGTCAACGGTTTACTACTAAGTGTGTATCGTTATAAACCAATCGGGGGCTCATCGTACATCAAATTACCCGACAGCATTGAAGCACATAAGGCAATCATTAATGTAAAAAATAATGATGAGATGTGTTTTAAATATAGTATTATGGCAAAATATGTTGACGCGCCAAATCCAAGCAGAATTAGTCACTACCTAAACGCACCAGAAAACTACGATTTTTCAGAATTAAACTATCCAGTTGAAGTCAAGGACGTCAAAAAATTCGAAAAAAGGAATCCGGGTGTCTCTGTGAATGTGTACGGATTGAAAATGTGTGAGCCAACATGTAACGTTGATAAAATCCACAACCGCAAAAATAACAAAGAGTATATTGTTGTTCCTTACAAGATATGTGATCAAGAGTTGAACGATCATTTCGACCTACTATTGTTTAATGATGAATCAACTAATGGTGATAAATATCATTATGCCTACATTAAAAATTTTTCTCGTTTGGTAAGATCACAAATTATTAATCACAGAGCTACTATGGCTATATGTAAGCGCTGTTTCAAGGGGTATATCGACGAACCGAATAAACCAGACAAGGCTGTTCGTTTAGCCGAACATAAAAGACAGTGTGTATTAAATAAACCTGTTGCGCCTATTATGCCCACCGTCGGCAGTTCATTACGTTTTCAAAATTGGGGCAACACTCATAAGCATGACGTTGTAATTTATGCTGACTTCGAGGCGATGCTGGTTAAAAATACGGACGACTTAGCGGCAACTTCAAGTGAGAAAAAACTATTATTACACATAACCATGAACCTATGTCATTTGTTTACAAGGTAAAATCAGGTGAAAATGTTCCTGAAGAATTACTTCATGCATACAATATACCTGTTAACCCAGTAGTGTTTTGCGGAGACAGAACCAACAATGAAGTAGGAAAAAAGTTTGTTAACAGTATTGTGGATGTGTGTAGAAGAATTGAACAACTTCTCAAAACAAATCAACCGATGAAGATGACAAGGGAGGATTGGAACGTTCACAACGNGATGAAGATGACAAGGGAGGATTGGAACGTTCAAACACTATTCTAAGTGGAGGTAAATGTCCATTATGTACAAGTCAATTCACTGAAAGGAACCATGCAGTACGAGACCATCACCATTTAAGTGGCAAGTTTAGAAACACTGTATGTAATTCATGTAACTTAAGAATGCAGACACCAAAATTTGTACCTGTTTTCGCTCATAATATGAATTATGATAAAAGTTTCATTATTGGCGAGTTGGGTTTTGACGCACATACACTGTCCGTGGTACCAAATAGTGAAGAAAAGTTTATATTTTTTTCAAAGTACATTTCAAACAAATTTTCTGTACGTTTTCTAGACACCTTTAAATTTATGTCGTCAAGTTTAGATGCGCTTAGTGCAAATTTAGCTCGTTCAGACAAGACTAAATTCAAATCTGTAATGTCTGCATATCAGAGCAGAGATTTAGATTTAGTTTTTAGAAAAGGTGTGTTTTGCTATGAATACATGAATAGTTGGGAAAAATTGGAAGAACGTTCTTTACCACCTATTGAAGAATTTTACAGGTATTATTATTACAAGACAAATTTCCATATAAATAATATTTTAATATATTATCATTAATAAGTTTTTTTTTTGTATTAGTTCACTTACAGAAAAACATATTTTACCAGAAGATTATGCACACGCTCAAAATGTTTGGCAGCGGTTTAACCACCAAACTTTAAAGGATTACGTTATTTGGTACAATGAGTTGGATGTACACCTTCTTTGTGATGTATTTGAAGCTTTCAGAGACCTGTGTTTATCAACCTATGGACTAGACCCCTGTTTTTACTATACCGCTCCGGGTTTATCATTTGACGCCATGCTGAAAATAACTAAAGTCGAGCTTGAACTTTTAACGGACTATGATATGCTTCTGTTCATAGAAAACGGAATAAGAGGTGGTATCACTCAAGCTGTAAAAAGGTATGCCAAAGCAAACAATAAATTTACGACTGGTTATGATGCGAGTGAACCGTCAAGCTGGCTGATATATTTAGATGCTACTAATTTGTAAGTTTTTTTTTTATTTTTTATTTTATAAACATTTTCTTTAATTTAATTTAATAATGTTATCATGTTTCAGGTACGGATGGGGTATGAGTCAAGCTCTTCCCCGAAAAAACTTTAGGTGGTATGAAAAGGACATATCTGTAAGTGCTGTGACCAGTCTGCTAAAAAGGACCGGATCGAACTCAAACACCGGCTATATTATGGAGGTGGACGTTGATTATCCTCAGACTTTACACGATGCACATTCTGACCTACCTTACTTGTGTGAAAGGTTTATGCCACCAGGGGCAAAAATTTCTAAACTTTGTACTACTTTAATTAATAAAAAAAATTATACTGTACACTATACTGTTTTGAAACAGGCTATGGACGCTGGGTTGAAACTGAAAAATGTACACAGAGTATTACAGTTTGAACAGAGCGCATGGCTATCAAAATACATTAAAGTCAACACGGAGAAAAGAAAGTTGGCTACTAATGATTTTTTTAAATTAATGAATAACGCCGTATTTGGTAATTATTTAAAATAAAAAAAATTGATAAATTATTATGCTCTCTAACGCGATTAAATTTTATAGGAAAAACCATGGAGTCATGCAGAAATAGAATGAAAATAAAGTTGGTAACTAATGCTCAAACAGCTCAGCGTTTAATTAATAAACCAAATTTTAAATACATTACATATTATACTCAGTGCTCGAATTGGCCAAAAATAAGTAGGGGAGCTCAACTTAACAATTTGAAAACTGCGTCCCTAGCATTTTGAAGACCTTTTTTTTTTTTTTTACTCATTTCTTTATTTAGTATTTATTAATAAATTATATTTCATTATCATACTACTATTTAAAAAAAAAAAAGAGGTGGTATTTTCCACCGTCCTCATAAAAAAAAGTAGTTGGGGTGCGCAAAAAAATTTTAAAAAAAGTAGAGGAGCTACGTCCCCCTGCGCACCCCCCCCAATTCGAGCACTGATTATACTGATGAATTCTGCGCCATTTACTTGTTCCGCGATGCTCTTATTTTTGATAAACCTATATATGCCGGTTTTAGCGTGTTAGAAATATCAAAAACATTGATGTATGATTTTCATTACAACACCATGAGAAAAATGTATAATGGACACATCGAGCTTTGTTATATGGACACAGGTAAATAAAAATTATATATATATAATTTAAAACTTAAAAATAATAATGGTTATTGTATAGATTCACTCATTTATTTCATACATACAGAAGATTTTTACGATGATGTATTAAAGAAACCTGGCTTTTTAGAAAAATTAGATACCTCAAACCTAGATCCTAATCATAAATGTTATCGAACAGAACGCGCTAAATTACCAGGGACCTTTACAGGTTTACATTATTTTTTAAATGTATATTGATTTTAAATAATAATAATAATAATAATAATATTTCTATTTTTATTTAATGTGTGTGTGTAGACGAAGCCCTTGGAAAAATCATAGCTGAACTTATTGCTCTCAGGTCAAAATCATATGGATACGAAATGGACGGTAAAGAGAAAATCAAGGCCAAAGGGGTGTCTAAGATTGTAGTTAGTAATCATGTCACGTTAATGGATCATAAACAATGTCTTTTCAAGGGGTTGTCTACCCCACACATTCAAGAAGTAGACGATAATTACTCTGCTGAGCGGGAGATGATATCATTCAGGTCAATCAAACATAAAATGAAAACGATTAAGACTAGAAAACTTGCACTAAACCGTTATGATGATAAGAGGATAGTATTGCCGAATCAGATAGATACTCTACCTCATGGTCATTACAAAGTCGAGTATGCAATGATTGTTAAAATATTATAATAATAATAGTAACTGTTGTATTTATATGTTTAGGAAACTGATTGAAGAAGGAAAACTGTAATCATATCAACAAAATATGGAAAATATAATGAGTTAAAATTGCTATGATGACACTCTAGTAAGTAAAAATTCAATTATTGTTTAAATAAATAATATGAAAATATTAATAGTAATAATAGTTGAATTTTTATTTAATAGGATATTGAACGAGGAAAAAAATCTATAGTCACAAAAACGATAAATGATAAGAGGATAGTTGGTACAGAGTAAAATGTGTACAAATTAATTGTTGTATAAAATAATAAAAAACTAAAATCATATTTTTATTTTAGGAATCGGATTGAAGAAGGAAATCAATAATTTTATTCAATTATTTATTATTATTAATATTATTATATATTTTTTTTTTTTCAATTCTGAGTAATATTGTTCACAAAATTATTTTCGAAACATTATTGAATTAAAAGAATTGTTTTTTTTTTTTTGTTTTTACTATTATTATTATTATTGTTATAACTATACTAGAGTAAAACTGCTAACATTTAATCACTTGTTGTAATATATATATATAATATTTATATATACATTTTTTTTTTTTTATTATTATTATTATAATTGTATAAGTATACAAAATATATACATTTAAAAAATTATAATCCCCTTATAATAATTTTGAAGTAAAGAATAAAATAAAATAACTATGATAAAAAAATATATTTATTTAATTATTTAAAAAAATTATTGCTAACACAGAGTTCAAAAAAATACATTTCCAAAATAATACAAAGTCAAATATTGTTTATAAACCAATTTCTAAGCAAAAATATTTTATAAAAAGTACAATTCTTAGGATTTAGGTTCATGTGATAAATACAACTAGGTGTATTTTCCGCTAATTCCAATTGGTCAATTCTTGGCATCCCCAAGTCTTCGAGATTAAAAATATTTACTTGTGGAATAAATTCTGCAAGAATACGTTGTTTCTGTAATCCTTTTACATAAATGTTTTCAAAAGGAAGTGAGTTTAATATTCTTCCTATATCTTNGTGAGTTTAATATTCTTACTATATCTTCAGCCTCAACATCACCAAAGTGAACCGACATAAAATGACGATTTTTTAACAGCCAGTTATTTACACTTCGACTTTTTTCTGATTGTGGTCTTGGAAACGAATGTTTAAAAATCCAGTGTTGAGTTGCCCAAGAGTCTACATCAATGACCGAAAGTTCTTTAATTAAATAATTTGAGTTCAATCCCATTATGCACTCAATATCAATCAAACAGTTAGACATAGTTTATAAGTCACACACACGTGTTAAAAGGGTCACGGACCGTATAAAACTAAGTACTCTGCTATACAAATAATCAAGTTTCTTACGAGTCATATTCACGTAATTCCGCCCGTGTTACTTTTTATGTCCGATTAAAGCTGTGCTATCTAATGCAGAGAGTTTAATATCCAAATTTATATACTTTTCTTTTATTTCATGTATTTTACTGTTTAAGTCATTACAAACACTTAGTATTTCTTCGAATTTTTTAATATAATCAACTTATATTTTATTATTCAAGTCATTGCATACATTTTGTATTTCTTCAAATTTCTTACCATAACTGTCATGTATTTGATTAACTAATGAATGAAGAGCTAGCAATTGGCTTAACCTTTGACTTTCTTCTGTTCTGCCAAATACGTCCATTTTAACGCGTGTATATGTTCAAACTGATATTATTTTTTAAGTTCTGAACTATTTATCCAACTATTTTCTGTAGATTTAAAGCCGTACCATTTTACATATAATTTATCACCTTTCTTACGAATTATCTTTTCGACTAAAAAATCGTCTGGAAAATGAGTTTTACTAATTTCTTCGGCGTAGAAACCACCTGCAATATCGTTACCTTTATAATCCTTCAATTTATATGTATACGGTTTAGTGTTGTTTATTTTTGATATAGTGAAAATTTCAGTCGACCAATTTTGTAAAAATCCTTTAGTAAAAATACCTTTGTGTATGCTTATACGCACTTTATCTCCAATTTTAAATTTTTTAATTCCTTGTTTAATATTACGTTGATGTAGTTTTATAGATAGTGGGTTAGAGTCTGCTTCTGCGGGTGTGCTGTTTATTGTTCGGCGATGTGAGTTATTGTATTCTCGCATTAAAGCCGGTAAAATACTTATCCAATTGTTAGAGCCACGCGCAGTAAACTGTTTATAAATTTTATTTTTTAATGTACTATTAAACCGTTCTACTATGTAACTTTTAGTTGTTGAAAATGTTGAATATCTTTTAATATTGTACTTTTTTAAAATCTCATCAAAATTTTTATTATAGAATTCAGTTCCGTTGTCAACTTGTAAAAACTTAGGCCTACGATCGTCAAGTATTTTGGAAATAGATTTAGTGACTTCTTTACCTTTTTTAGTTTTTAACGGTTTAGCCCATGCAAATTTAGTAAAACAGTCTATAACACATAAAATATATTTATAACCTTTATTGTGACGAGAAAAGGGTATCATTTCTATGAGGTCAGCTTGAAATAAGTCGTTTTTACCATACACATTAACTATTCTTCGAGGATAATGTCGTCTTGCCTGTTTATGTAGTTCAGTAGCGATTTTCAGTCTAGACATTTGGGATTTTTTTAATAATTCCTGCCAAATTGACGTGATTGAATTTAGCACACCCGTATTGCCAGCGGATCTTGACGCTAATAATAATTTTAGTTTGTTGACTAACTGATTCGGATCATCCCAAAATTCAAAAGTTTTATGAGCGTTTTTTTGTAAAGTTAATGTAAGACCTTCTCCATTAGCGAACAATGGTGCAATAATAGTTTTATACTTATTACCACCTTTCTTTAAATTAGACTTTTGCTTGTTCAAATGAGCTGATGTAAGTATTAACATATTTTTATAATTTTGCATATCAGTCTGTGTATAATTTATCGGGTCTTTAGAGAACAACAACTGAACAATACCGCTTGTTAATGGAAACGTAGAATCATTTATGTATAAAACTGAATTTTGAATGTCAAATTCAATAAATGCATCACCTAATTTTATCTTACTACCACGTGATTTTACAGGACCATATGTTTTATCCAAATTTTGAGATTTGAACCATGAAATTATCGCAGTATTTTGCTGTATTTTTCTTCCTCATTTAGTGCTTCTGATTTTATTTTAACATTTTCCTCGGTTTTTGTGTCATAATTTTCATATTGTTTATCATATGTTTTCGTACTCACTAATTTTTCAAGTGGACTTATCACTGGTTCTAAATTTTGCCTTATAAATTTTTCGGTATTAATATCGTTTTCTTTCAATTCTTTATATTTACGTTTTATATTTTCTTTTGCTCGTATTAACTCGTTCAGTAATACATAACTTTCTTGAGCCATGATTACCGAATAAATGCATACGATAAATAAAAAATCATAGACTATATACTAATGAAGGTGTCGAAATTTAACCTAAATCGTCCTTTATCTCTTTCATCGTCCTTGCTAATGACTACAAAGTTGTACTTGTCCAAGTTCCAGCAAGTTATGCAAAGTTCTTTGAATTGATTATACGTTATATCTGAAGCTAAGTGGTCGTTGAAAATATGTTTTAAATTTGTCTCGTCTTGTTTAAACAGTATAATAAAGTTAGCATTATCCCGCAGTAGACGTTTGTCCAGAAAGTTGTAACTTTGTGCGCAATAAATTAAATCTATATTATTATGTCTTCCTCGTGCAAAATAGGCTCTTATAACACCTTGCGATTCTGTTAGCACATCATCAAAAATGAAAACAGAATTTGATAATGCTTCTTCAGGAGGCAATACCTCCTTACTTTGATCAAATGTAAACATTTTCATTCCGTTTATATCGTTTATAATTTCTTTTAACATTTTATACTTTGGCTGATCTAAAGTTTTCGAGTATAGATATATATTTTCAAACTTTAAACCATTTTCGTTTGTGAGCAATGAAAACACGGCATTAGTTTTACCCCCACCACTGGGTCCTAGTACTAAAGCTCTGATAGAATTTGGAAATAAATCTCCGTGTCTGGATTTTACTTTATAATTTTGTGGAGGGTCAAAATTACGAACAGATAACTTTTTTTCTTGAGGAGTAAATTTCATTTTCACTATAAATACACGTGTAGTTAACTTGTATACTTTAAAAGATATCTACGCGTGTAACGACAAAGAACAACAGAGGTGCGTCACTTCTTAACTCCGCAATAAATAACCTTCCATTTGAAGCTCACATTCCCGGATATAGGCAAGTAATTTAATTTCAAGTTCATCATAATTAGTTTAAATTACTTTTTAATTAATTAATTAATTTATTTATTTAATTTAGGTTTGCTGGGCCAGGTACAAAGATAGCTAAACGTTTAGCTCGAGGTGATCGCGGAGTTAATAAATTAGATGAATTATGTCTCACTCATGATTTGGCTTATGCTGCTGATAATTCATTAGAAAAAAGACACGAAGCCGACAAGATTTTAGAAAATTCAGCCTGGGAACTAGTGAAATCCAAAGACGTAGGACTAAAAGAAAAAGCTGCTTCTTGGTTAGTTGTAAATGCGATGAAGTTAAAAAGAAAACTCGGTATGGGCTTAAAAAAAAATAAAAAAGGAAGTTTCAAAGATGCAGTAATGGCTGCCAAAAACTCTATAAAATCTACAAATGAAACTGATATTCACAAATTAGCAAAAATTGCTGTAGCAGCAGCAAAAAAAGTTTTACCAAAGACTAAAAAATCTATTAGAAGACCTAGAATTATAAGTGTACCACAAAAAGGTGGATTTATTCAACTCCTGCCTATATTTGCCGGACTCTCGGCTTTGGGGAGCTTAGCGAGTGGTGCAACAAGCATAGTTAAAACTATAAAAGAAATGAACTCGAGTAAAAACTCTCCTGTTCAATTGGGTAAGGGTTTATATTTAGCTCCCTATTCACCAGGCAAGTACAAATTGGGTAATGGGTTGTTTCTAGCACCTAAAAGTAAAGGTGAAGGTTTGTTTTTAAGACCATCGGGAAGAGGATTATCATCCAAATCAAAAAAAACAAAAATCTATAAAAGTTCAAATGGTAGTGGATTGTATTTAAAACCTAGTGGTAAAGGAATAACGACAAAACAAAAAAGAAAATCAAAAACATGTCCGCGTTTAAAAAACTGTTAGAAAAGCTACCTAAGAGAGCACTGTTTGATTATGAGTTAACAAAGTACGCAATCTTGATGAATATTCCTCAGTATACTGGTACATTTTCAAGAGATCAGTTGCCTATTCATAGTCGTACTATAGAATCACTAATTGTTAACTTAGACTCGTATAAAAATCATGGAACTCATTGGGTAGCTATAAAAAAATATAAAAACAAGGCTTATTACTATGGCAGTTTTGGTGTAGAGCCTCCACTAGAAATTGTTCGCTACTTAAAAAATTGTCAAATAATTTATAATTGTGTTCAAGAACAGAGCTTTGATTCTTACAATTGTGGACACTTGTGTTTAAAATTTCTGTCTGAACCATGGTTAGCATAACGTTAAATGGTGAATCTTCCGAATTGAGTTGTGATCTCTTTCCGTCATTGGAGCTCCTACATGAGAGTGAAATAGCTCTCATAAGTTTTCAGAGTAACAATTCGATACCTAATATTGACTCGTCTAATAATAATTTTCAATACAAGTATGTTGATATAAACAAGCAATTTGTAGCGGAATCCATAGAAATACCTATAGGGTCTTATGAAATAGAGAGTTTGGAAATGTTCATTAGAAAAAAAATGGAGGAGAGAGGATTTACTTTTGCATTAAAACCAAATAAAGTTACGTTGAAATGTGAGATTTTATGCAGCGTGGTCATTGACTTTTCTACACCTAACAGTATTGGACCAACCCTTGGATTTAAAAAGTATAAGTTTTATGAACCTAATGTACGTCATGTATCAGATTATATTGTTAAAATAAATCCAAATAATTGTATAAATATATCATGCAACCTAATTGAATCATCATTTGTTAATGGAACACTGAGTAACGAAATTCATCAGTTTTATCCGTCAGTAGCACCCGGGTACAAAATTATTGAAGTACCGAAACATTTAGTTTATTATCCGCTAATTACTAATAGTATATCGCGCGTGAGTCTTCGAATAACCAACCAGGACGGTAAATTGATTGACTTTAGAGGAGAACCGATCACAATACGTTTACATATTAAACGATCACACGTATAAAAATGGCTCTAAAATTTTCTAGTATAAATAAGAGTGCATCCGGTTATAGTAAGTCTATTGATCTTCAGAAGCGAAAGAAGTATAAGATTATTAAAAAATATTCAACAAAAAAAAGCAAGAAAATCAGAAAGAAAAAGTTATCTAAATCAAATCTACAATTTCTACAAACTGTTGGAGCATTATGATGGAAGAGAGGACTTTAGACGTGATGGCCGAGTGCATTGATGATTGTGCAATTATTCATAAAGAATACCACTCGTATTTACCATTTTCCGCGTCCGCACTGTCTAATAACGACGAAATTAGAATTTCAATTCAAAACTCTGAAGGGTATTCAATTCCTAGTCAGAGTTATTTGTATATTGAAGGTAAACTAGAACGCCCGGCAGGAGTTAGCGGTGATATTAAGTTAATAAATAATGGACTTGGTTATTTATTCTCAGAACTTCGTTATGAAATTAACGGAGTTGAAATTCAAAAGGTACGAAATCCTGGAATTACTTCAATTTTAAAAGGTATGTGCTCGTATACCATGGGTGAAATTAATGAATTAAGTGCTATTGGGTTTGACTCAACAAATTTTAACAATAGTGGTTTCATGAGTGGAGACAAGTTTTCAGTATGTTTGCCCCTCAAACATTTCTTTGGATATTTTGAGGATTATAAAAGAATACTTATGAACTGTACTCAACAATTAATACTTAACAGAGCATCAAATGATGTTGATGCGATACAAGTATTCGATACTAATTCTACCGCTGGACCCGAATTAGCGAAGACTAAAATAATTTTGAACAAAGTATTGTGGAAAATGCCATTGGTCAAAGTATCAAACAAAGAAAAATTGAGGTTAATGAAGGTGATTGATAGTCACAAATCTATTAAATGTCCTTTTAGAACTTGGGAATTGGCTGAATGTCCGTTTTTACCTAAAGCTTCGCAACATTCTTGGACGGTGCGAACATGCAATAATTTAGAAAAACCAAGATATGTTATTATCGGTTTTCAAACAGATCGTAAGAATATTGGAAATAATCTATGGCTGTGTTTGATCATTGTAAATTGACTAATTTGAAAGTATATTTAAACACTCAAGTTTACCCCTATGAAGATTTCAAAGCAGACTATACCAATGGGCTTTACCCTCTTTTTTATGACTCTTATATTAAATTTCAAAAATCATATTATGACAGAGACTGGGCTTCTACTCAGCCAATCAAAATTCAAAGAGATCATGCCTGTTGCTATTATTGACATGAGTCATCAGGACGACAACTTAAAAGTATCTTCAATCGATTTACGTCTAGAATTCGAGTTTGGTGAATCACTTGCAGATAAAACTAGTGCATATTGTTTAATAATTTATGATCAAATTATAACATACAACCCGTTTTCAGGTGATGTTAGAAAATTGTAAATAATATTTTTATTATAAAATCATGTAATAAAATTTCAATAGCATTTTTAAATATTTTTTATATGACTATTGTATAATTATTTTTATGTAATAATAAATAAATAAATCATTTTTTTATTAACACAACTGTTTTATTATTATTATTATTCAAGTAAAATTAAAATATATTTCATAATAAGTAATTAGTATGTGACGCAAAAAATAGATTTATAATAACAATTAATTTTTTTTTTTTGTACTAAAATTTCTAAATTTAAATAGATATGTATAAATAAATTATTAATTATCTAAAGCTCCAATTGGCCTTTGAAACAGGCGACAACTTGCGTTTGGGTGATGGCGAGCGTGGACTTATTTGAAAATGATTTTTAAAATTTTCATAAGGAACCGGAGAACTTCTATAATCATACATATACGGTCCATCGTTTTCATCATAATCCTATAAAAGCAATATATTTCATTAATAATAAATATTTTATACAATACTAATTAACTTTTTTTTTTTCTTACCTAATTTTCATTGTGTTTTTTGTAAACTTCATTCGCTAGATAATTACTAGCATGCATTTTAATTTGAAGAGTAAAGTCTGGTTCGTTGTTATTGGAATTTGTATAGTTGGAAAATGTTTCTTGTTTACAAATAAATTTTTTCACGGAATCTTGATTTGATATGTCCATTTTTTGTTTAAGTAAATAATTTACCATTTTCTCTATTTGTGATTGAATTGATATTTTAGAATATGTCGACTTTTGAACAATAGTTTCATGAATAATGAATTCTAGTTCTTGTAGCTTTAATGTGTTTTTACTAGTTAAAATAATTCTACAATCTTTATTAAATCTTGATTGTAATATCAGTACGTTTTCGGATTTGTAAAACGCTTTTGAAATGATTACTTCATCATCGTCGTTAATAATTACCGACTCTGCTCGAATGGGCTTGTTGTCCAACACATTATTCAACAACTGTTCCATGTATCCAAATAATCGTCTTAAAAAGCCTTCATTTACGCTTAAATGCCGCCATGGCGTAATAATATGAATTTTAATTTGTAGAGTATTTGAATCAAAGCCGATTTGTATAAACTTACGTTCTTTGAAATCGATGTTAAAAGAGCTGACACATCTATTAAATCGTCTGGTGGTGTAGGTGGTACGTATTTGTATTTCATCTGTCTGTATGCTGCTGCTTGTTCTTTTTCTTCTCCATATGACATTATAGATGTATTTTTGGACTGGCGGGTTCAGAAGAAGTTCTATTCAATATGATTGCCTGAACTGCAACGCGTAGTAGCTTGAAAACACTGTCAAATGTTTGGGTATTTTACATGTTTTATATCGCGTAAACACATTTAAGAAAATATAAACCAATGAAAAACGAGTTATAATTTAAATAGAGGGGTATTTTGAAAAATACCAAAACACTCGATCATGTGATCAGGCGATCAGGCGATCAGGCGATCAGGAATCATGTAATGAGGAATTAGTTGACGTACAAGTGATCTAATATCATGCAAGCAACTATGTACACATAAACGTAAGGGGAACTGCTGTCGTATAAAGACAACTTTCATTGAAAAAAACATCAAAACACTCGATCATGTGATCAGGCGATCAGGTGATTATGTGATCATGTGATCAGGTGTTTTAGAAGGAACATTTATACACTACTTTCAAATACTATCAACTTATGAACTTTCAATCATAAAATATATACTGGAATTATCATAATAATTTTATTAAGTTAAAAAAAAATGTATTAAATAATTTTTTACTTGTGTAGGCCATTATTTTTGTTAAATCTAGAAAGAATTATAAAAATACATTTTTATAAAAATATTTGTTATAATTTTTTTAAATTTTTTGATACTGTGTATCTTTAATAAATGTATTCAAGGCTACAAAAATGTTCCTGATAGTATAAACTTTCCTCCTATACACGTGTATAAGGATGCACTGTGTAAGTTGTAAAGGCAAATTTAGCCATTATTTAATTTTAAGTATTTTTAAATGTATATATTAAAAGTTGTATTATATTATTCTATAAAATATTAAAATATTATCTACTTAAAATATGGATTTTAAATGATAAAAAATAAGTTGAAATTCTCGTAATAATTTAATTAGGTATTTAAGTAATAATAATATAAAAAATGTATTATAATATAAATTATAATTTATTACTTTTTAAGACTTCTTCTTCTTTTGAATCTGGAAAGCATTATATAAAACATTTTTATAATGAAATTTGTTATACAATTTAATTAAATTATTTTTTTTGTGTACATCGATAATACCATAATTATAGATATCTTGTATCGCCAAAATCCACAATTCACAATTACCATTTAACCCAAAATGGTGTATAGACATTATGAAAGTAGTCAATTTATTTTCCATTAGATCAAATGCAATTTTTTTTCTTTATTAGTAATTTTTATAACAAGCTTTTTTTGTAGTTTATAAGTGTTTTTATGAATTTTTCGTTGTTTATATTTTAATATTTGAAAATATTTTATAATATAAAAGATAGATATTTAATTTTTGATTCCTTATATATTTATTTATTGAAAAAACAATGACCCTTCTCATTCAGTAAAGATGGAAATACGTACCAATTATAACAAGAATACGAAATAGCAAACTAGAACTAAACACTTACATGAAAAACTGATTTTCATCAATAAATGTCTCTGGTGACTCAAATCAGGCTATGGACACTTCGGTATGTAAACAAAAAGTAGCAGCCATTTTATTGTAGATATTGGTATTATCATTTTGTTGTCATGATAAGAACTAATACCGGATAAATGAAAATATATATTACAGAATTTTACTTTTAATCATTTTATTTCATTCATTTTCCATCTTTTATATAATAATTAATAGAACGGTTTATGTTTGCATTGTAAAAAACTGCATTAACTCAAGAATTGTAAATTGTTTAAAATACCAAAGGATTTTCCTCGGTTAGTGTTTTTTATTATAAATTAATAAAAATAATTATTTTCTATAATCTAGCTTGTGAATAACTATGGGAAAGTTATCAGTATATGAACGTATACGAGTATTGATTTATAATGGATTCGGAGATAAAAAACGTGCAATGAGACAAGCTTGTACACTTTTTAATGAACAAAATTATCATAGAGCTCCTATATCGGTTAGTACAGTATTTAAAATCCATAATAAATTTTGGAACGAAAAGATAGTTACAGATATGAATAAATCTGGTCGTCCTACCTAGGTAGTAACTTTAGACGTGTCTTGTAATGTTCTATAGACTGTTGTTGAGATTCCACATACCTCAATTCGAGCAATTTAAAAGGATAAAAATTTAAGTAATAAGATCAGAGTGTTTCACATTTTACACAGTGCAGATTGTCATCCATATAAACTCAATTTGGTACAGAGCATAAAATATGATGATTATGAAAGAAGAGTAACATTTTGTGAAACAATATTGGAAAAATATAATGCAAATAGATTTTTAGTTTTTTTATTAGAAGAACTCTGCTATCAAATAACAAATGTGATGGATTGCATACCACAAAACATTTTGCGAAATGTTACTCATGAGTTTGAGAATCGGTTAAGTCATTGCTTAATAGTTAATGGACATCAATTTGAACACCTTATAAATTGATAATAATACAAAATTAAAATTTTAATAAACCGAAATAAAACTGTTCTTTTTTAACACGCTTATATTAGTTTTACATGTATGTTTGTTGTTTGTATCTCTCCACGCGCCAAGTGTTATTATTTTCGCGTATCCCGTCGTCTGTGGCCTTGAGACTAGACTGTCGTAACGCAGGAGTTTTGCGCGCCTACTACTAAACACACTGTATAAAGAAAATGACTAAAAATATAATTAAAATCTAAAATTTGTAACCATCATATTTAATTGTATTAATTGTACACGATCTTTTTAAAATGATAGATATATTGGTTAAATAGTGAAAATTAACATAATATGTTTTTAAATGATAATAGCATAGTATAAGTTTATTTTAATTTAATTTAATTTAAATTTAATTTGAGAGAGAAAATAAATAAAAATATAATTATAGTATAAAATTTGCAACCACCACCTGTTAATTAAATTTTTTAAATATATTTTACCATCGATGTCATCACTGGATATTTCATTTACAACACACAAAAATAACAGAGCTATAAAACTAATTGACATTTTTCTTCTTATTGTTATCTAAAAAAAATTAATTAACTATAATAATCATTTAATATTTTGCAAAATAAAAAACATTTTATTCACCTACCCAAACTTTTTCGTAATATTAAAGTTTAACAAAAATTGTACTACTCTAAAAGAAGCTTTTATCTATTATGATCAAAATTTACTAAAAAAAGTTACTAATAATATGTTACTTTCATGAACGATGAAGCAATTATCAATAAATCAAATTTATAATAAGACAATATCAGAAACAATTCCTTCAAAAAATGTTTTCGATTTACTTTTCTCTTTGTTTATTCTATAAACTTCAAAATGACGTTGTAGAAACTCATATATATTTGCATGATTTATCCACTTTACAGAAATCTAATCATTAATAATACATGCCATCATAAAAATATAATATATGACCTGTTGTATTTAATATGGAACAATCTTTTTGTTCTGACTTATAGTCATAGTAGTTCAATAATAACGCAAAATGTAGTTAATAAAAATATAATCAATCAAAATAAAACATATAAAATATTGATACACTTAAAACAGAATAAATAAATAATACACAAAATGAAAACTTAAAGTCACAAACGTACCACGTGGAAAGAGATTACCTTCGGTACTCCCGAGGTCTTCTCTCTCTCCTCCTTTCAATTCATGCTATTTTATCTTATATACTAAAAAAAAATTTTTTTTTTTTTTATAAAATTCATATAGTTATCATTTTCAAAAATGTTTATAAATATTTACTTCCTGATCTAGTAACAATAATTCGGGAATTACAATTAATCTAAACATTACAAAAGTGTTCTACTTCTGGTTTACAAATAATAGACTATATTATATTTTTGTAATAATAGATCAAGAAATTCATTGTTAAACCAAACATTACAAAAATGCTTTGTTTTCAGTTTTACAAAATAATGACCTATATTACAGGCCCATTGAAACAAATATTCTTTATTTAGATAAAAGATATAATGTTATATAAGCATATACATTTTAAGCAAATAATTAGTTTTTTGAGAATACCATATTCTAAATTAAATTGTAGATTAATAATAATTATGAGACATCTATCTATAGTTTTATATTAAAATAATAATATAAAGATAACTGCAAAATAAACACAGTAGAGTTAAGCTGACCACTTAAGTGGATTACAAGAAGATAAGAGTGGGCTTTTAATGAATGTTAAAGGACTCCTTGAGGGCTCTTGGCTCTGTTGTATTAAATTATAGCAATAAAATTAAACATTATAATAATAGTTAATTAAAATAAAATGGCCTTTACAGCATGGTGAAAGGAGTGATTTACATTGTATTATTCTTTGTTTAGAATATATAAACTAATAATGATGAGTAATATTCAGAATAATGCTAATTCTATGTGAAATTAGAAGAGCTCATTTATTACTGAGGTATATTTAATATTAAAAATGTAATATATGATCTTTCAGTAGTTCATTGATTAAAAAATATACGATTAAACCATATAATTAACAATATTTGGAGCATATATGAATTAACATAACTAAGTTTTATAAAATATTTTAACCTTTTGCGTTCCAACTACCATCTCAATAGCATAACTTTTATTTTTACTTATTTGGTGTTACAAACTATGATAAAATAAAAACATAAATGTACGTATCGACAATATTTTTGAGGAGAAATTATTAAAAATATATAGTTAAAATAAAATATTTAATTAACTTTAAGTTTTTGATTTTTTTGCAATGTTTTATTAATCATTAAGAAATTTTAGTTGACATTTGCGTGAAGAGCAGTTTGTTGTATATAAAGTTAATTTTTGAAAATGTGAAGATCAAGACAAACTTTTTTTGTGGTACACACTAGATATATAATTTTATATGTATAAGCAATTATTTGAAAAAATACTTTTAAAATCGATAAATTTCGATATTTTTTCACTTTTTTTTTTTTAATTGTCATTAATTAAAAAATAAACAAATCGTAATAATTATTATTTATATTGACCTTAGATATTTCCCTTTCATTTAATATAAATTTTTTTAAAATCTTACTCTAAACCTGCACACGGAGGGATTCAAAAAAGCAATTTTTGCATACAAGTTCATAAGCATCGTCTTTATGTCAAAACCGTGTAACTAAACGTTTTGAGATTTAAATTATTTTCGAGAAATACATATTTAACACATAATTTTAAGCGGTTGTCAAGACGGAAATACTCCAAACTTCAAACATATGTTAAAATATAGCTTATTTTATGTACTAGAAATTCAAAAAAAAAATTTGTCCCAACGACTCATCTTCTATGTGCAATGGTTGTTGTAATTAAAAAACATATAATTTGGTGTTAGAATTTACAATTTCATATTTTATTTTTTCAACTTTAAATTACTATAACTTTTTAAAATATGTTTATTTTCTATGTGTAAATAGATGTCAAAATTTATGCTAGTTTTATGTTCAAATTTTATTTTTATTTTGTTTATTTTAAAATACTTTATAAGGGTTTTTATAGTAACGAGTTTAACAATTTTTATAAGATTAACATGAATTAAACTTACTTTAAATATAAATTTATACTTACTTTGATGATTTTGCCTCCTCAAAGTTATAAAATGTGACGTATGTCTTTGTCTTTTATTTTAAGGGATCGACCACAAACGACCAAGAACTCTGCAGAAGACGCGATGTTATGTTATGTTCAATTTTACAATTGTTTATGTTAGACAGTATACTTGTTAAATTATTATTATGTGTTTAATTATAATTGTTATTTTTTCTTATATTTTTTAATAATGGCTGAATAAACAAAAAAGGTAACTAATACTACAATTTACATATTTACACTTGTTATAATATCACATCCACACTTTATAACATTGTCATATAAGTATATTCAGTGATGTAAAATTTTAAGGATTGCAACTTATTAATCAATTTGGAAAGTGGTTAGCATTTTTAAAGACTCTTACAAATATCAACTTTAAATTTTATGATGTGACTTAAATGAAGTTTTAAAAATTTATTTATTAAAACTTAATAAAATTTATAAACGTATTTAAAGAAACATTTAATGGTTTTTTAAATTTATTTTGTCAATAATATTAACAATTGGTGTCTGATGTACAATTAAGATATTAAATTAACGAATTATAGAATATTTATGTAGGGTTCTCTTAAATGGCTTATTGTGCTGTTCCCTGAGCACAATGAATATAGTGTTGTACCAACAAATTGGGTCACAAAAATTAATTAACTCAAGTAAATTATTCCTACTGGCCTCCAGGCACTGTTAACAGTGTCGTTATACAAAAAGCAGACGAGCCGGGGTTAACCTGAAAAATGTGTAGAGTAAAAATGTATGATGGAAATAAAACTTTTGATAAGAATTAATACATATTTATATAATATCTAGTAATTATTTTTAGCTCATCTATATGCCCACTATTTTTTTAAATATAACTAATATACAGAGTGTTCAGTAAGTCAGGAAACGGGTTTCTATTGTTCTCATTGTTACAAACAATTAGAACAATAGAAACCCGTTTCCTGACTTACTGAACACTCTGTATAAATTTAACAATTAAATCTGTTATACAAGAAATATAAAAGTGGTTACAGACACAAAAAAACAAATCATTGTAAAACCAATACCTTCTCAGCTGCGCATCGAAGCTAAAATTGGTGGATTATTCCAAAAGCTACATAATCTCCTATTTCCTTATTTATATCGTGATTGCTAGTTTTATGATTTAAAAGTGTAATATATGAATAAATATTTATTATAGCAATTAAATATAGTATATAATTAATATTTAATAATTAAGTATTGTAATTTTTACGGCGGAATTTAAAAAATTATAAAGTAGTCATTACTTTAATGGTAAACGTGTATAAAGATTGAAGTCCTGATACAAAACTTTACAGAAGATAATTTGTTGTCATTTATGAATAAGTAATCTACAAATAATTGTCCACAGAGTCAAAAATGTACTGTTCTTGAGCAATTTTGGACGCTGATTTCAAAGTTAAATTATATTTTTTCCATCGCCACTAATTTTTTATATTATTACTAATTAGTTCAAAACGAGTATTAATAAATAAAAAAAAAAATGAGTCGAAAATTTTTTTCTAACTCAAAAAAAATTAAGAATAAATTGCAAAAAAATCATTGCCACAAGTAATTATTTTTACTGAAATGCTAAATGTTCATCGCATTTGTAGTTTAATAAAATTGTCAATTTAAACTGATTCAAATGTTAAAATTACTTTTTTCGACCTAAAAGAAAAAAACCACACAAGGGGATCGCGGCACAGTGGTGACGTGGCATAGTTGGATCAAGTATTATGATATCCGACAGTGATTAAAATCACTACCAAAAAAAACGCTTCGATGCAAATCTTTATATAGTGTTTAATTTTAAAAAATTGGTGGATTATACCAAAAGCAACCTGATCTGCTAGTTTGTTATTAATATCCTGATTCAGATAAAGTATGTCGAATGAAAAAGGGATTAATAAAAATAATTATTTCTCATAAAAAAATAATGTTGATCCATACACTTTTCAATATGTCATAGCATTATAAAGTTAAAAATGTAAAAAATAAAATCGAGAATTTTCACACAATAATAGCATTTGGTAGCAATTTTCACCGTGAAGACAAAATAAAGTCTGATGTGTGTTTGTGGGGGCGCCTCACTTGCGCCTCCTCCGGCGCCTCACTTATAATCTCCCCGGCGCCTCACTTATAATCTCCTCCGGCNCATTATAAAGTTAAAAATGTAAAAAATAAAATCGAGAATTTTCACACAATAATAGCATTTGGTAGCAATTTTCACCGTGAAGACAAAATAAAGTCTGATGTGTGTTTGTGGGGGCGCCTCACTTGCGCCTCCTCCGGCGCCTCACTTATAATCTCCCCGGCGCCTCACTTATA